AAGCTAGGTGGGCGGCCTGCATGCGAGCATGAGGCGAACGAAGAGCGGACACGTGGGCGTCCATTCGCTGTCCGTCTGAATGGAAATCAGGTCAACGAGCCTTAAGCAACATGGCGGGACAAGATGGGTCGTGCGTTGAGTTGGAGTTGGCCTCACATTCTCATCTTGTGTGGTGGCACAACAGCACAAGCCTTAGAGCAACTTCAATGGGGCGACTCATTTTATCCGTCCGCGTCCGTTTGGGTCGGCGCGGACAGAAAAGACGGCCCAACGCGCCGACCCAAACGGACGCGCGTCCGCTTTCGTCCGCCTGCCGACTCATTTCCGGCTCATTTTTGATCCGGATTTGCGTCGGCGCGGACACAAGACGGACGCGCGCGCGCGCACTCTTTCCTCCCCGCGCGTGCACAACCTCCACCACCTGCTTCGTGGCCGACACCGCCGGCCATTTTTTCTGATGAAAAAGGATACATAGATAGTTCTTGCGTACACAAATAAAAGAAAAGATCAATTACTCGTCGGTTTCCGACTCTGACTCGGTAATGTCCTCCTCCGACGTCTGAATATAGGCGTCAGCAGCATGCTCGTCCGCGAAGTCCCAACCCCGATGTTTCTCGCAGCCTCAGTCTCATTTGAACGGTCAAATTCCGCGCACGCTTGCCCTCCCGATAGGCGGCTCGCGCCATCCTCCTGGCCTTCCTCTCCGTCCTTCTCTGCTCATAGAACTGACGTTCGTCGACGATGTCCTGCGGGAAGCGTTCGCGCCACAGCACCAAGGTTTGCACATCCATCTCGGCGAGGGCGAGGCGACGCATCCGCCTCCGGTGGACGCGACGATCCTCGTCGGTGAAAAGCCGCGGGAGAGGCGCCAGATCTTGCGCCCGCTGGCTCCACACGTCAGGAAAGTTCATATCCTGACGAGGCCTCAGGAGGCGCCACGCCGCCGCGTCGTACGCGCGGGCCGCCTGCTCAGCGGTGTCGAAGGTGCCGAGGATGAGCCGTTTCTCGCCAAACAAGATCTCGGCGGAGAAGGCGACGGAGGGGCGCTCACGGACTCCGCGAAAATCCGAAGCGTCGAGGATGCGCATTGACATGGTGGCGCACAGGCGGCGAGGCTAGTGAGAGGGGGCGAGACGAGTGGGCGGCGGCGGTGGACTGAGTGTGGAGGGAGCGCCGTCTTTATAACGAGTGTCGGCCGTAGCGCGCCAAAATGCGCGCGCGAACATTTCCCACGCTCAGGAGCGCCAAAGCCAGCGCGCTAGGCCAATTTTCCCCGCGCGCGAACCTTTCCCGCGCGCTGGCATGACCGCTGGCATGATATAAAGCGCGCGCGGTCATGAAATGAGTCGGTGCGTTGGGCACGCTGCCGACCCAAATCTAAAAGAGGACGGACGACGGGTGGGCGGCCGACCCAAACGGACCCGTTGGAGTTGCTCTTAAGCAAGTGTTGTTTGGATCGGATCCTCCGCAAACAACGCTGTCGCTACGATACATTTCACAATCAACCGCGCCTGAACAAAACGAAGAGCAAACAATACTGCGTACGTATAGTAGTACGTTTCTTTGCAAGTGCAACAAGAGGACACTGCAGCTGCAAGGGAAGCGTGTGAAGCTACGATCCTTTTTCGTTCTTTTTCTTGGGCCCCGGGGAACAGTGCAAACGCCTGCTGCTGCCGAGCAATTGGATTGGATGGGGCCTCTTTGGCATGGAGTCACCAAACGTCATCGCCAAGGCAACTCCTTTTCTGATCTGATCATCATACACGTTGTTCAACAGCACGTACAGTTGTAGTTTTGCTTTCGTTCAACTGATTGTGTATTTGTTATAAAAGTTTGGAAACATACTGGTTGTGGAGAAAAAATATTTAGATCTACCCATGTATCATTAGATTCAATTCAACATGTAAGTCGTAATTTCACATTTTATATATTCGTATTGTAGACATACATAGTTTTTCTCTATAAACTTGGTCAAAGTTTGTAATGTTTGACTTTTCCAAAAATCTACATGCACTACATTACATAACGAATATAGCAGTGCTAATCTACTACTATATTCAACATAATTTTTTTGTTAGCTTATCAAAATCTGTTTGTTGACACATTTAGCTGAACTACATTTCATCTAAACTAAGCAAAATAAATGAATGAACACAACCATTTTTCATATTTGAAATAATTTCTGGTACCTAGATGTAATAAAGTGTGCTATATATATATATTATTTCTAATTTGGAACCTTAAAATACTCTTTATATGCACGAGTCTCACAAATATGTGTAAGGTTAGACTCTTAGTAATAACTAATACCAAATTCTAGAGAGTGTGGTTGTCCTCAAATTGTGTCATCATCCCTGCACGTTGACATTTATAGTTGATTTTCAGTTTCATGGACAGTTCATTTATTTATGTTTTTTCATGATTCATAATTATTTGGTAGGCACACATGTTCCATCCATGATGACTCTTGAAACTTGCATGCATTCAAGAAGTTATTTTATAAGTTAATTGAAAAAATTAGCCACACTAATATTCAATCTATAGTAGATATCTATTAGCTGCAAGCACCACATCATCTCGGAACAAGATCACATGTTACCACAGTAATAGACATTTATATATAATAGCTGCCTTTTGTTGTTTATTTAGTTCCAACATATATCATGTCGATTGAGATTCAGGCCCGAAATAGTGCATTCTTGAGAAGTTCATGTCAAGTCTTGAACTATTTTGTTGATATCTACCACAACACAAGGCCTACAATATAAGCTTCGGTATACTATGTTTGTTATTGACAACCGTTAGATCAAATTCTAAAAGTTGTTAAGTGTATGTCGCAACGCTTTCATGGTCTAAGGTTGTGTTTGGGACTACTCTATTTCACCCAACTACACTCCACCTCTAAACTCCACTCCACCACCTCTAAGGTTGTGTTTGAAAATATATATTCAAATACTATTTTTAGCACAATTTCAAATTTGTTTTAATTTTTACACAATAATTTATTCATGTAAACGCATGAGCATGTTTGCTGCAAACATTTCAGTTTTATTTCAAACTTTTAACTATTTTTTTATTTTTTATTATCACGGGAGAATGTAAGCTCAACAATAGGATCAAATATCTCGTGGCTGCCCTAGGTACCCCCTCTCCCCCCGCTCATTCCATGTATATGCGTGGTTTTGTTCATTAGGAATAATTAGTTCAGTTAGTGCTAAATGGGGATTGAATTCAGGATCCTCACCCATTTTCTCTTGTTGTTCTATTTTTGGACACAACAACTGGGTGAGGATGAAGTGGCACAACGCCGGCGATAGCAAGATTTAGAACAAAATGTGTCACAAAGAAATGTCATCATATCCATTCAGCATTTCACGAGTAGAGGAATGAAGCAAGTGTATCACACAAGTACAAGAGCGTACGTGTATTTAACTCTAATCTGAATCACCCTTATTTTTTTCCTAGCTACTACTCTACTCCCTCCATTCCTAAATATAAGTCTTTTTAGATATTCCAATATAGACTACATGCAGAGCAAAATAAGTGAATCTATACTCTAAAATACGTCTATATAGTCCATATTGAAATCTCTAAAGAGAATTATATTTAGAAACGGAGGGAGTACACAATAACCAAGACAAGGCAGACAATTTCCAAACAACATGTTGGAAAAGCGACAGAGTACCGTGACTAATGCATACTCCCAAACCACCAGCATATGAAGGATGCAATTCACCATGAGTTTCTCGGTGACCATCGATAGATCATCACAGTATACAACCATAACAGATAACTGTTACGCCATTGGGAACACGATTAACGAATTGGGGGTCAACACATTCACTAATCAACCTAGATTACTATCCTACTCCCTCCGTCCGAAAAAGCTTGTCCAAGGTTGTCCCTCAAATGGATGTATCTAGCACTAACTTGATGCTAGATACATTCATTTGAGGGACACGTTTTTTTGGACGGAGGGAGTATGATCGAAGCAAATGCCATCCCGGAAAATGATTAAACACATATTAGTAGCATGTCCAAAATCCCAATTTTGACATGACGCTGGAATTGCAATTTGATCTGATTTAGTTATCTCACATATAGTATGTCCCAACATTACACTGCATACGACATTTACCCCTAATGAAGCTAGTTAAGATAGCCACGGTCGCCCAGAAATTAATTTAACACAAATTTGGAGAATGCAGCAGAGTAATCTGATTCTGAGCCGACCGCACTGATACCAAAAGGTTGAATGAACTAGACAGCATACATAGATGAACTAAGCGACTGACAGGAGCTCCTCTACGATCAGCAATGCAACTGAAATCAAAAGGTTCCAGATCATGTATGCTGGTTCTATACTTCCATCTTCAATATAATGACTCAAAAGAAGCAGTAGGGAGTAGGGACATCAGAACAACACACATAATGACATAAGGCAGAAGGTCGCCAGACATTCTGGATAAACAGGGACATCAAGCAAACGGTCCCAGATAAACACACTAGAATGTTGTTACGCCACATAGAAGAAAACATGATTCACAGACTGGGGATGCAAGCTAGCTAGGATCCGAACAGAAAAATGGCATTAGAGAACATGATTACTAAAACACATAGTAGTAACACGTCCAAAATCCCAATTTTGTCATGCGATTCGATTCCATCGTCCACAAACAAGATGCAGCAACGACATTCGAACTACTACAATACATGAAGCTAACTAAGATAGCTCCTGAGATTCGATTCAATCATTTGTCCCACAGATAAGATCAGATGCAAATCAACATGATCACCATACTACATTGATTACTAATTGATCTGATGAAGCTAAGATAGATAGCCCCGGCCGTCCAGGAATTAATCGAGCACAAATAGAAGAGCATGGCAGCAGATAAATCTGACCAAACTGAACTGAAACCACATATATGTCTGGATGGATGGTAAATTAAAGAGAAGACCGATAAGGAGAGCATGGCTTGATCGATGAGGTGAAGTAGTCAATCGGATGCTAGATAGAATCCCTCCTGCAGCAAGCGGACAAATGGATTCGGCCGTCAGATCCATCCATGGATTCATCATTTTCATCTAGGACTAGGAGGAAGGAGAAGAAAAGAGCAAGGTTTGGAGAGTTTGGTGGGCAGACCTCGGAGATGTAGGCGTGGTCGTCGCAGAACTCGGCGAGGCTGGCGAGCCTCTTGGGGTCCATGAAGCGGGAGAGGACGGCGACGGCGACGTCGATGTGCTTCACGGCGAGGCCCGCGATCCTGTTTGCGCGGTACAGGTAGTCGAGCGACTTGTTCACGTCGCCGCCGCCGCCGCCTCTGGCTGCCTGACCCTGACGGGGCTTGGTGGAGACGGACTTGGCGGCGGCCGTGGCGTCCGGGTCGTCGGAGAGGTCGGCCTTGGCGAGGGCCTCCGAGGCGGCGGCGACCGGGTCGTCGTCCCTGTCGGGGCTGCTGTCGGGCGAGGAGGAGTCGGGGGTCTTGCCGGGGACGGGGGCCTCGCCGCCGATGAGGCACTCGACGCAGCGCGGGAGGAGGTGCTCCTCCAGCAGCTTGATGGCCAGGACGGCGGCCATGACGCGGTCGATGGCCTGGGCCTGGGACCTGGGGCGGGCCGGGAACTGCTGCGCGAGCAGCGCGTCGTGGAGCTGCTCGTCGGGCATGACTGCGAAAGCCAGGTTGGGCGGGGAGAAGAGGATGCGCTTCTCCGCGGCGAGGTGGATGCAGGTCGTGAGGATGCGGGCGCCGGCCTCCAGGCCGATGTAGTAGACCTTGAAGAGGTTGGAGGCGAGCTCCCTGAGCTTGGCGTCGGCGTCCGCCTCCGCGTCGGCAGGGGCGGCGTCGGCCTGGAGCTCCTGCAGGCGCTGCTGGAGCTGCAGGAGGCGGTCGCGCTGGGCGCGCACCGTCTTGGCGGCCAGCATGGCCTGCATGAGGACGGAGTCGATGTCCTTCTTGCTCCCCTTTGCCGCCATGGTCGCTCGCTCTCTCTCTCGCTCTGATGCCGGCCGGAGGTGAAGGAGAGCAGATGAGCAGAGAAAGGTTGGAGCTTTTGGAGGAGGCGAGCGATGGCAGAAGGTGAAAAGAGGACGAGGGGGGCACGTGTCGAGCGGCTATTCCTGCTGCTGGCTCTACAGAATGGGCCCACTCGGCCCATTGATTCGTTTTGACCGGCGTCATGCACATCCACAAGGACGAAGGGTAGCGTGCTTCCTCAGCTACCACAACAAGACAACTCTCACCGTAGGTGATTTTCAAATTTTGAAAAATGCATGCAAGGTGGAATGTTTTTGTAACATCACCATAGAAATTTCAAAATGCAGATTTTTTGTCCGGAAGGATCACCTGTACAGTGGAATTGACTCAAAGCACCGCCTCTAGTTCATGTTGGCACAAAAGGCCGTGGCGGCAGGCGCGCCAGTGACACGTGGCACATGCCGGCACGATCGAAGGCGGCAGGCCCTCCCGCCATAGGGTCGGGCGGCAGGTCACCCATTGCAGGAATTTCCGGCGAGCGGCGACTCGCGACGGAACAGGGCCGCTGTGGTGGGCCCTGCCGCCACCAGGCATGGCGGCATGCACTGCTGTTGCCGCTGACGAGCCGACGGCGCTGCTGTTACTGCGGCTAACACGACAGCACCGAGGCTGGGATCCGAGGCTACGGTAGGTGAGCTTTAACCTGTTGTGTCGACACTGAGGTGCTCCTCGCCTTTTCATATGTACTGCCGCTACTCAGTGCACAGACGCACTCTCTCTAGAATCTCTTTGGTTACCTTCAGTGCTTCTCTGCTCTCTCTAAGTGACCAAGAACACAGAGAAAGAAAAGGCCAGTAGCCACTTTCACTCGCGATTTAGAGCTGGATTTTGAAGATGGTGAACTTGAAGAAAAGATAGATCAATGTAAGATCTATCCACTTTTGTTGGTTTCATTCGCATGATGTATATTTTTGTTGGTTTCATTCCCATGATGTATATACATTATGCATGCGAACTGTCCCAGCATGCATGTATATTGAAG